ATGGACAGAGAGCTTAAAAAACGTGCTAGCTTAGGCTATGGATTCATGAGCGGGAAGAGTATAATTGTAAATACCAACGATATGAAAGAAAGACTCGTTTCTTTCCAGGATTGCTTTCTGGGTTAAAGTAAAAGACATTTTTAATTTGAATGTTCGTGAACTGTTTTTCAATAATAGTTCCCTAGAATATGTTATATCTACGAAGGTGAAAAATGATACAATGAAAAGTCTAGCAAGAAAGGATGAACTGCTTTAGAAGGAAGCAATATTGAATGGCACAGGAAAATTGACTTTACTGCCGTGTTGTTAGGATTTCATATGCCATAAAAATTGTCATGATGTTAGGAGCAGGAAAAATTTCATGGCTGTAACACCAACGCTTCTACTCAAAGAAGTACTGCGGTGAAGAACCTACTTTAATATTACACTTATCGAGACAAAAAAAATCAAACTCTAGTTATCTTAATTTATTTATTAACCAACCTCTTAATGCAAATTCAAAATGACATCAAATATTGCGAGGTTTAAAATTATATATTCCGTTCAGCTTTTGTCATATAGGAGTCAAATGTTTTGCGTTTTATTTTTGTTACTTTGAATACAAAATATTCCTAAACGGAGGAGGTGTAAAAAGGTTACATTTCATTATTAATATACAAATATCTCTTTTAAATTTAAAAATACAAAATCACAAATCTTTGCATCATTTAAAGCATTTTTGTAACTGGAACTATATGTATGAGCCTAACGGTTGCGAAAATAGAGTGACTTCTGTGGACACTGTGGGTAAGGACTTCTTTTGCGGACACGGTGTATATTTGGCTGCATCGATTGTCCGATGTTAGAAATGTACGAATTCCCATTTCGGCCGTGTTTTGCATTTCATGGTGCATATACTGTATATATATATATCTGTCTGTGCGTTTGTATGAGATAAAAGATATGCAAATCAATATTCTAACTTAAATTTGCAGTAGCCTCTTAATTCGAATGTAATATCGAAAAGCCATTACGTTATGACCACCCTGCTGATAACATGTAGGATCCCCTTTAGCTTTCAAACCTGCCAGCATCGGCTTGGAATTGACTCCATAAGGTATTGGTAGGTAGTCTGAGGTATCTGGTACCAAGCGCTCACCAACCGGTCCTGCAATTTCCGAACATTGCGAGGGGGTAGCGTAGCAGCACGAATTTGGTTTTCCGAGTGGAACCATAAATACTCTATTGAATTAATGTCAGGTGAATTTGAAGGCAAAGACATGACTTGAAAGTCACTGGAATGTTCCTCGAACCACTCCCTGACGATTTGACCCTTATGACATGGTGCATTATCCTGTTGGTAAACACCATCCCACCGCCGAAAATACTGTTGTCATGAATGGGTGAACCATGGTCTGCAACGATGTTCACGTAACGCACAAACGTCAGGGATTGTTCTATGGGGATTGTGGGTCCTAATACGCTCCATGAAAACATTGCCCACACCATAATCCCCTGCCCACTGGCTTGTCTCTGTCCAAGTTCTCATCCGGGAGCTACGGTTTCGTTTGGAAATCGGCGTATCAGCCCACGCCCGTCGATGTGATGGACCAGAAAACGTGATTTGTCGGATCATGTAACTTTCTTCCATTCCGCTAATGTCCAATTCAGATGTTTCTTGGTACACTGCAGACGCAGCTGGCGATGACATACCGTCAGTGCAGGGACATGCTTCGGCCTCCGACTGCGTAGGCCCATTCGCAGTAATATACACTGTACAGTGTGTTCAGAAACACTGTCTGGGTCGCCACTGTTGTAGCTGGTGGTGATTTCGGCTGTTGTAGCTCCTCGGTCACGGCGAAGAATGCACAGCAATCTCCACTACTGGCCGGCGACTTGTCGTTTCACCATCCATATACCATTTTCGATATGTGCTCACAACAACTGCACGTGAACAGCTCACTAAACGCGCCGTTTCTGATATTGATGTTTCCCAGTCGCCGAGCCATAACAATTTGACCTTTATTGAAGTCTGATAAATCAGCTGCCTTTCTCATTATGTCTCTAATCGAGCTATCAATGCATAGCCGCTTTATATACTCCAACATCAGCCGCGCACGCTCAGTGGTTTTGTTCCTGGGCCAGCCCATTGTTATAGATGGAGGATGGTAATAATATAATGGCTCTTCGATGTATAAGAGATTTATTAATTAGCAAATCAAAATGATATCGAAATCGAAACTAACCTATTCTGTACCCAGTACAAGTATTTCATCCTCAACAAAACATACTTCGCTTCTGCTTCTCGGCCTAGTTAGACTGCTGCATGCTACAAAAGACAATCAATTAAGTAAATAATCCTTAAGAAATTTTATTGTAAATTAAATGGTTAACTTATTTCAGTGCTTGTAATTTTATTTCTTCAAGAAAATCTTCCTGATAACATCTGATTTCATCGCATCTTCATCTTCTGAAAGTATGCATGAAGTATGCATTGTCGTAGAGTAAGTATGAAAATTTCTTTTTAACATGTTAGGTTATTTGAATCTGACAAAGCATACGAGTGATAGCTGTCTAAAGGGGTGGATGCTTTCATGAAGGTCTTTCTAAGAAAACCTAGCTCGTTTTCACTATACACATCGGAGAATACACGAAAATCACCCATGCAGCCCACTCGTTCGCCTCGATTCGAACCCCCGTACAAGTATTCAGCGTCCTTAAACATTCGGCCACCTATGGGGCAAATTTCTTCTTAAATGCTATATAAAAATTATAATACCTATGCTTATAAAAGTAACCGACCACATTAAAAACTTTTTAATTTAAATAAATAAATTATCTGTAATTTATGCAGGATACGCAGGCTGACATATTTATGTGAAACAAAATATGAAGCTGAAATAGTTGAATCATTGGGATATTATACTATCATACTATAAGTTGCTTATGAATATACATATTAATGATACAAGATAGACATAGAAAAGAATTTAAATGGCGCTGGAATCATATAATCCTAATGCAACAGTTAATTCTTTCATTAATGTTTCAAGACTCACTGTTAGTACATATTTTAGTTAAAGCATTTTATGATTTTATCTTAATTTCACTTTTCTGGCAGAAGGAAAGGCTACATAGAGCACTAATTTCTTTCTGTTTCGTGTAAACGTAATATAAACCAATCCCATCAAGAAACCTTTTTGAATTAAATGGCCTTCACGGTCCTTTAAGTGAAATAAATAAATAAATGGGCCGTAAAAGTATGCCATGGTGTAAAGGTTCCAATTTGATGAGATTTTCGTACGTCGATGGTTTTACGTAGCACTGAGTTCGTATTCCTGTAGTTGGTAAATCAGAAAATTTCCTATCCACTCAACACATCAGTGGTTGAGAAGATAACGCTGTTGATCAGTTTGTAAAGATATTAGGCAAGACCTGAAAAGTTTTGCAACTAAATTTCAAACTTGATCAAATTTAGAAATAGTGTGAACTAATTTTAGAAAAAATTTTCATTTTAGGTTTGAAATATATATATTTATATATGATTAAAAGCAAAAAGTTTGCAAATTACGACACATAATGTAAAGCAACAGTGTGGTGTAGTATTTATCTTAAATAATAATAACGCTTTAAATTGGTGTATCTTTCGTGATACTATTTCTAAGGCATCCTAATTTTGTTAACTAACTAGCCAAAATTTCCTTATTTCATTACTTTAAAACCTATATTTATGAGTTTGTTCCTTAAAGAAAATAGCTTAAATTTTTGCATGTATTATAAAATTTAAATAACATCAACTCTTTATCGGAAATCCAGACCTGAGATGTTAAAATATTTCACAGTTCTTCAGTGAAATATGGTAGCCGTTTCTCAATTGCACTTAAACTAGAAAATTCGACTTCATTTTTTTATTTACCCAATTTACGATTTCCGTGTCATTATTTTCCCCCTATAAATCAAAGCAAGTCGTCTATGATAGAAAAAAAATATTCAATAATTTTTACAGTTCTTTAATTTGCTTTTAAATTTTCAGATATAAATTGCATCTTAAAATTGAGATTCTAAACCTTTCCCAGGATCTCTGATCCCTTCCTGGGGCGGCCCTCTTGATTAAATATGATAATACACTTTTCCTAGTACAACAGTCCTTCAGACCTTTAAAGATACCGTAGGTAGTTGAAGTTTTATGTATGGAAGACCAAAAGGTTACACAAAGTCATAAACCTTCACTTCCTACAGGTGTTTCCTAGGTGTAATTTAACAGTACATCTCCATGATCAGATCCGTCCTAGATCGAGGCATACGGAGTTGGATATCACCCTACTGAGAAAATTTATCGGGAAAAAAAGAGAGAGAAAGAGACAAAAAGAGCTCTTAACGGTTGGCTTGCATAACCCATCGGTTGTTTAGTTCAGCAAAAGCACTCGAAGAAAAATTAATTAGGTTATTAATGGGTCGCTGCAACCAGGAGTTTGCGCTGCTCTTTGTTACAACTGAAATGCGTGGAACTTTGAAAATTAATCAAAGTTGTATACTTTTGTTGAGAGTTAAGTTGTAAATGAAATAAAAAATACAGTAAATTTTAACAGTTAATGCAAGATAAAATCCTTAAAATAATTACTATTCTATTTCTACATAAATTCACTTATGTGTTAGACATGTGAGTCTAACATGTAAATATAACACATACGTTTCACTCAGGCAGATTATATCAAATACAGTTAAACTCAGTTATATTAATTTTCCAAGACTACTAAACAAGAAAAAGAATTCCTAATGATTATGATCATATAATGTTTAATTCTCAATAAGTATAATCTTGTTCTGATTTATTCTTAAAGGACTCTTTCTTTGTGCCATTCTCCCTACAGAATTACATTAAGCTTAATTGTATAAAGATAACGTATACATTATTGTTGAAATAAGTTAATTAACCTAAGAAGAGAGTCAGTCGAATTTCTGAAGTTTACTATTGATAAAAAGAGAAAAATTGTGTACTAACAATTCATTTTCTTTTTCAGATCTTCGAAAGAAATCTTAAATGACTGGTTTTGGGCTTCTTGAGAAAGCTGCTCTGGTGTCTTCTCTGAGCTGGACTTTCAACTAGACAAAGGAATGACCCTAGTTCAGCTTAAACTCAGAAATTTCAAAATATAGTGTTGATAATGTACTTAACTGGAATACAATTCTATCATGCAAATACATTTTACCAAGTCATAAAATTGTACATATTAACAGGTGGCACGTTTCTATATTGAAAATATAATTCGAGTTTATAAAACTGTCTTTTTCTTCTGAAAGATAATTAAACGGAGAAGAGTGAATTGTGTTTTTACCTGATTTAAACAATTACTCTTGACAAGTATTATGACAAGGGTGAATACGTCAGCCGCACTCGGATTTTTGAACTTTCATGCTATACAATTTTCAGTCTGCAAGGGAATCTGTGTCATTTTTCTGATACAAGTCAGAATTTACTTAAGATATATGCAAGTGTATGTGTCCAAAACTTGATGAATCCCTTTATTGTGAAGATGTTAATGATATCAAATGATACTGAAATTCATAAATTTATTTCGACCTTCAAACGTTTTGCACACATTGCTCAGCAAAATTCCTTAATTGTCATTTTAACGGCCATGTGAAGTTGCAAATCAGAGATGAAGTCTACTGTGTGTTTTTGAATTCAAGAACAATGCATATTAGTTCATTAGTCGCATTAAATGCTATAAATCAAATACTTAAACACTGTAAGGATTTAAAATTCAAATTATTAGTCAAAATATAAATCTGTATTTTTATCGACTATAAATTAAATATGTTAGTTCTTCGAAACGTAACATTATGAAAAAAATGCAAATAAATCACATTAATTTTAACTTGAAATTTCCGATGTATATCATATGGAAAGGAAAACATCATAAAAAATTTAGTTTTAGCTTCTTCGGTCTGCAGTTTCTGAAACTGAAGTATCAATTAGTTACAGAAGATTTTATTCAAAATATCCGACTATTTTAATGTTTTTTTTTTTTTTTTTTTTTTTTTTTTTTAATAAAGTGATTCTTCTTAAATCAGTGTTTCTTTCTTTTACTTTATGATATAAAAATTTCGTTTTGTGCATTTAAAAGATCAATTTGAAATATTGTTTCATTTGCATTGTCAATAAGAGAGTCCGGATATTTTCCGTTATAGTGTAATATGTGCCATACTATTTCCTGCAGAAATTAATTAATATTGCCTGTTGCCCATTGGTAAATGAAACAAATTGTTTTTTCTCTTGTAAGAGTGTTCCTGTTTCGAAAATTTTATCAATAGAAAGTTTTTTAAGTGTTACATACTATTTCATTCTTTGTTTATTGTAATAACTAAATTAAAAGCTGTGGTTTTACATAAAAAGTACATTTTTGCCTAAGGGGTGCATTTCTTACCTAAAGGACAAATTTGATATCTAAAAGATATATATTACATTTTTCTGGAGAGAACTGTTTGGTATGTGGTGTCCTGCAACAGGGAAGTTCTACGTTATTATTAGTTATTTGATTTAGGAGGTTATTGAAACAGATCTACAGTAATTTAAAGAAACGCATGCTTAAAAGATATATTTGCTAAAATTTGATATTGAACTTACGTAAAATTTTATAAAATTTCGCATTTGATGTAAAACATTATTTAAACATTTGTTTGACTATCATAGTAAGATAATGCGAACTGATTAAAGTATTCATAAATAAAAGGATTTTTTTAAAATTTAAGATAATATACTACGTTTATTCGATGAATATATACGGTATGGTGAAAACACTTTTCAACACTTCATGAAAGCGTGTATTTTGTGAATCTCGCCACGTATTTTACTAATTGATTTAAATGCTAATGCTAATACTAATATATCAATTAAAGACAATTTTATAGATAATTCAAAAGGTTTTTTTTTCCATTTAAAAGATCATTATTATTGTAAATATTATGTCATATGAAATGGAAAGAATCTATTAAGCTTATATAAACAATTAAATCGTTAATTTTTGTAATTCTTATAATCTATACATAGTTTTTAATTTCAAAAGAAAACAGTAATGTAAAACTATAAAGTATGAAAGATTTTATATTAATAAATTAATTTTAAACATGTTACAAGTTATGCAGACTATTGATATTTAATTTCAAAACATTTGATTGTAATTACTAATGCATATGGCTTGGGCATACAACTCACAAGTTTGTCCAAGTGATTTCCTAGAATTAAATGATACCACTACGACACTACAGCTTCAGTTAAGTGCACTTTATCGCCTATTATTCATTAACTTGGCTTTCTGTTTCAGTATCATCCAAATATTTTCAATTGATTTGAAATTTGGCAATTAGGCTATACTGTTGCGAGGCTCCAACTTGTCAGCAACAGTGGTATAGACTGCTATGAACTGTAAATTACACAAACTTGTAAGAAGGGTTTAAATCCCTTTTTATTCCACTTTAAAAATCACAGCTGCGTTCACTTGACGCTCACAAACTACGCCGACCCGGCGGTTTAACAAAATAGAAAAGTACAACTAAAAATAAATGACAGGATGAATAAATAACGAGATCACTACCTACGAGGCTCTATAATCGTAGCTAACTTAACCACGTTCTAAGATACAGCTGAGATTCAGCAAGCTTACTGATTAAGCAGCTGAAGATTCAACGAACTGCCGAAATAGGCACACAGGCCGAAACGCGCGGTTCTTAAATTTCTACCTAGCAACCTTCACGCTTGCGATTCAAGAAGCACACATACAATCTCGTTTCCCTTCTATTTAAACTCAACTTACTTCTGCTAAAATTTGAATAGACTGCGCGTTCTACTACAATTTACATACTCTGGCATTGGCAATTCTAGGGGAAAGTAAAGGCTTGACAGGAAAGATAGCTTAAAATAAATGTTAGTTAAAATAAATATAAACCCTGCAAGGCTGTCCATTGAATTTTTTTATTGATTTATTATTGAATGAAACCATCTGTCTCTGTTCGTGCTTGATATCATGGTAAATTATCATCCTGAAAAATGTAAGCATTATTTTAACTCTTTGAAGGGCACTGTAATACAAAATATACCGTAAGTTTGTATATTTTTTAATCTCGTAAAAAGGCTAATTTTTTTTATAACAAAAGCTGTAATCTTGTGTTACTGGTGTTTTCTTTTGACTTTAAATGACAGCATTACCCTATGAATACTCACTAGCTTCCAGTTATCAAATTTATGTATGTTGTTGAATGGTCTTATGTTTGAAGATTCATAAAGTGTCTTAGACGGGGGAATTCAAAATCTGGAAATATATATGACGTACGCATGCTGATCCTTACATATTTATTGCATTTTAATTAAAACTGCCAATTAAAAATTAATTATTTATACGATTTTAAAACAGGTATATAAATTATACCGGCTCCCATACTAAGGATACTTCACCAATAGGGGATAGCAGCATCGGGCTTCTTCTTCTCTGCTGGGTGGGGTAAGAGTATTTATTTATATTGCAACTGTTTATGATGTAATATGATACAGTTGCTTATGATTTACAAGTTGTGAGTAAATATTATGTTCATGGGAGAATGGAAAGTTTACTATTTTAGAAATGAATAAAAGTACTTCAGTTTCTTCTTATCCTTTGTTTACTCGCATCGAATTTCTAATTCGTCTCTGTTTAGCTAAAATTTTAAGTTAACCATTTCACTCTTTTCCCCGATACGAATTCGTCGATTTCAAAATTATTATCTGACGACAAAATATCACACTTTCGTAGGGGGCTATATCGTTAGCCTCGAGAGACACTCCTGAATGCAGTGAAAATGAAAAGAGGTGTGATAGTAATATGGTCATGCTTCCTCCACAGCAGAGTTATAATAAGATTACAAAGGGAAGCTCACTTACAAACACGAGAAACAGGAACGCACTTCAGGTACCCTTTCATTCCTTCACAGCTTCAGGTATTAGAGTAGAAACACTATTCATTGGAAAGCATGCTTTTTGAAGATCGTCTTTGTTAATTTTGAGACAGGAGACTGCAGAACACAAAAGAAATTTTTCTTTTGCGTAAAAATACGAATAGGCGGTTTTTGAATGTTGTCAGAAATATATTTAAGGCCAGTTTCAGATGCAAAACATTTATCTTTGGAAGGAAAAAAAAAGAAGTAAATATTTGAGTTTTGTAGGTCTTTGAAGTGGTTATAAGAAAATGCCTAAAAGAGGACTTTCTGTGGAGGAAGCACTTACTCTGCTTGAAGAGCTTCTTTCTGATGGATCCGATCTTGCCGTATCTGATATTGATGAATTATTCACTAAAAAATAAAGAAGGGATGTGTATCTGGTAGGAGTCAGTTTCAGATGAGAATGGAAGTCGTGCTAAGTATATACAAGAGCTACGCCCTTCTCATGCGTTAGAAATAACACGAGAAGAGATTTTCTTCCCGAACAAAATCATATATTATTTAAGGAAAAATTAAAAAGGGTCTCGTAGGGTGCCGAAGGGGCTGAAAATCGAAAAAACAAGGCTTCGAACTTATATTACATATAAAATCGTTTATATGCTTTATTCTTGAACAAAATCATATATTGCAACCTATATTTAATAAAAATTAAAAGGGGTTGCTTACAGGTCACGAGGATTCGGTAATCGAAAGTGTGCAGTATGGTAGCTCTTGGTATCATAACAAGATGCATGTTCCTTTCATATATTATCTAAAGACCAACTTCAAAAAAGTAAGTTTTAATTTTTCTGCTGAGTTACATCCCCTTGTGACATTGTGCTAGCTCAGTTATAGCATGATGCAGTGTTATATTTGTTAAAATAATATAACACTCCATCATGTTGTAACTCAGCTAGTTATATGCAGTGTATATCTGTTAAAATAATAAATTGGATTTAAATCACTTTCAATAGCTTTCTTCACATATTTTACGTAAGTATATACAACTGAGTGATATCATCAAAGTGTCTAAACACGTAAATTTTATTTCTAAAATTTTAAATTTCCTTAGAAATTTTGAACTCTTTGGCTCCAAACTTAAATAACTATATTAATGCAAAAATTTCTATAGATACATATCAAAATTATGCAAAAAAAATTAAAAAGAATTAACAATTGGCAGCAACGTAAAAAAAATATCTTACACGGACAATGGCATAAAATATACTATACCGACCCTCAAAATTTAGGATTTCATTCTAGATTTTTTTAAGCCTCAATTTTGTTTTCTTACGGTCCATAAGTTATAATTCATGCAAAATTTTACCACAATTTACATTCTTTTATGCACAGCCCCTGAAAGGGATTGAGCATG